GTATAAATTATTAAGATAAAGATAATATAATTATTATTTATTTATTTTTATATTTTTTTTCTAAATTTTTATGTTTATTTAACACAAAAATATTTTATGAGAACAACGTCTATTATTTTATAAGAGTAAATTTATTTTTTATTAAATATATTTAAGTAAAAAAAATAAAACTTTGTGTTATAATTACACTCATTCCTCTTAATTTGGATCATCTACTACCAACACATAATATACATATCCAAGAATAAAAAGGTTTAAAATTAAAATAAAAATTGAAAAATAACCTATATTTATAAATTAAATTATAACATCTTTAATAAATAAAGAAGTAATAAATCTTTCAATCAAAATATAGAGTATATTATAATTATAATAAAAAAAATTAAGATAATTTTATCTAAAGTGAAAGAAATTACACAATAAAATAAAATATAAATAAAATACACAATAGAATAAAATATTAATATATTTTAACATATAAGATATAAAAAAAAATTATTATAAAAAATGTTACATATAATTACATTCAAAAAGTGTCACTCTAGTCTAAATTTATACTTTTTAACAATATATCAACATATATTGTATCTATAATATTTGTAAAAAATAGTTTTTAGTGACAAGTATTATATTTTTATAAGATGTGTATCATTACTTAATAAATTAAAATATAATTTATATATATTATAAAAATAATAATAATATATAAAAATAGAAAAAAGTAAACCCCATCTCATACAAATAGATCCTAGATCCGTCAATGCAGTTGCTACCAAAATACAACCCCTAATTATTAATTAAGCTTCCAAAGGAAACGCTTGTAGTTTCTTGCTCCTCTTTTCCTTGTGGAGATTATTAATTTCGAAAAAATTCAACTTTTATAGTCAAGATGATTAGCATTTAGCAGCCTGGCCTGCTTAAAAAAATACTACAACAGTAATATATAGCCGGGTCTGTATCCCAAGAATAAACTCATCACAATTTTATCATTCATGCCAAATAATCAAAGACATCATGTATCTTGTATGATTAATTATTTTGGAAAATTCGTTTTTTTTTAATAATAAAATTTTTCTACCTTTTCTTAATTTACTGCTTGAATTAAAGAATCAATATTATTCATTCAAATTAATACCACTATAATAATATGAACGATGTTATACATTCCGAAACATTAATCGTCCGAAATTCTTTCTAAATGTTTAAAAAATTCATATTAATCAACTTTCATATTTGACATTTTAAAATATTTAACTATTTGAAAAATGATTCGGAATCCAAATTCAGAGAATTTAGCATTTTTCTAATAATATATGTCGATCCATTGATGGTAAGATATGAAAGATCGATTTCAAGGTCTTAAATTTAATTTTTATCTGTATTAAAATATTATTTTATTAAAGTTAAACTTTTACAAATACAAATTAGTTTTTGATTGTGATATCTTTGTACCATTGCCTAAATCATATTTATGAAGAAAAAAAAAATTATACCGATATTCTTCCGCCCCCATGCCATTCATATCTATGAAACCAAAGGAGTTACGGTATTCTTTCTATCGCTAGGTACTAAATTGATATACTTTATATATGTTAAAATATTGCTTTCAAACTGGACCCATGTTAGGTCTAGGAGCTACATTTCCACGAAATGTACTGAAAAGATGAAAACAAACAACAACAACTGCGAAGGAAAAAGAAGTCGTCGCACATAAAGAAATTTGATGGTCAATGTTATACTACGGAGAAACGTGTAGCATATAACTAACTGCGATATTTAATATTTATCTTGTTAAATATATACTCATTATAACGATAATTGTTACAAGAGTTAAATATGCTTTTTTCTTCCTTCTAATTAATTTGTTTATCATTGTTTCTAATCCTTCCAGCATCATTCTTTTTTCTTCTTATGTTTGACAGCACTTAAGTATCATTGTTAATATGTCAGCCACCGAGGCACAGTTGGTCAACGGTCAACTCAAGGTATGTCTCTTCACGATGCTTCTTTTCTCTTTATAGTTTATAAATCTCCTCCTCCACACTTGCTTTCTCTTCATTCCAATTTCCAACCATGGCAAGCCGTTTTGTGGTTCTCGCCCTTCTCATCTCCTGCCACGCCCTGGCTTCCACCAACGCCGAAGAAACAGGCTTCGTGGGCCCACTGGACCGCAAAACATTGGGCCTAAAAAGGAAAGAAAAGTTGAGCCATTTCCGCTTCTACTTCCACGAAAGCTTCACCCCAAACAACGCCACCACCGTCACGGTGGTGCAGCCCCTCCCCAAGTACAACGCCACCACCTCCTTCGGGTCGGTCGGGGTCACCGACAACGCCTTGACCGTAGGACCCGAGCGCACCTCCAAGGTGGTGGGAAGAGTGGAAGGCGTTGTGGCCGCCACCTCACAATCGGAGTTCAATCTGTTGGTGGTTCTGAACTTTGTCTTAACCGAAGGGAGGTACAATGGAAGCAGCATCGTGGTGTTGGGGAGGAACCGTCTCTCCCTCAAGGTTAGGGAGTTGCCGGTGATCGGAGGTACTGGGGTGTTTAGATTTGCCACTGGGTATGCTGAAACTAACACCATCTTTCTTGATCCCAAGACCAGGTCTACCGTTGAGTACAACGTTTATGTTTCTCATTACTGATGACGTCTACGTGTTGAAACTTGAATGCGTGCGTTTAAGGATTCGTTTCACCTTGTGCTTTGAATTTGTGTGTTCCTCCTATGATTGAATGTGGGAGGAGGTTTACCGGATTTTACATTTTTTCAGTGTGAGATTGTAATGATTTCTATACCGGAAACTGGATATTTAAAATGAGATATTTGGATTTTTCAGAACTTTACACCACGTACGGATATGATAATATAATATCTGAAAAATGTACGTATCAAGAAAAGTTGAATTTTGGGTTGAAACGTTGTTAGTGGAACTCCACTTAAATTTCTTAAATTAGATATCAATGTTCAAGGTCTTCTTAAAATTGTTAAGGAAGTGTTTCTCGGAATTTTTGTTTAGAAGTCATTTTTATTTAAACTAACAAAGTTTCAATTTAAGTATGTATAATGTGGTAAGCTCTTACAATGTGGATGAGTCGCATACACACAAAATACGAGTGATTACAATGACATAAACAACCTAGCTAGTTGTGGTTCAATTCTATATGATTTAACATATACAAAGATCCCCAAGTGTTCATCAAGAGTTATCACAAAATAAATTTCATGCATATAGACATTCAAATTGAATGAACAAAGTATATGTTAACAATAAGAAACATAATTGGTTTGCTTCCATTAATTGTTGAATCATAATACATAAAGACTCAAAGAAGTAACAAAACTACAATATATTAACTAAACTAGATCTACTATAAAATGGAACTATTCTAAGAAAAGAAAAGAAAAGATGGCCAAGAAGTCATACTCAGCAGTCTCGTACACGGGAGTCATATACGCAGGCAGCAAGTGTTTGTGAGAGTCCTTAAGCATGATTTTCTGACCCCTTGAAATGAGATTGTCTCTCCTATTTATAGAGGTTAATCGGGGGCGGTTAATTCTATATGGACTCGACGTGGTATGCGTAACCGCTCCCTATTATGTGACGTGAGTAACCTCTTGTAACCATTTTTAACTTCCGACAACCACTTGTTGCATGCCTCAATCCTCTAATGCTTTCTTCGAGCAACAGTTAATTCATATTAACTGCCTTAGTGTATAACTACCCTAATGTTCACGCATTTACGAGTAACTCCCTTGAACAGCTCCTAACTGCTTGAACATCACTAGTGGAAACTCCCTTTTTCTCGATTTGTCGAACTAACCTTCAGGAACCTTTCAATTGTCTCGAGATTTTTTTTCTATCCCCATACTCACAATCGTTCCTTTTGAATTAGTTTGATTTTGCTTTTGACCTGCTTCTAGGATTATCCGGTTTAATTACTTCCTTACTTGAGTAAATTCAAGAGTTTTCCTCTACTTTTCGCTAGGTCATGGTTGTGGTAGTTTCTCGATACTAATGTATATTCTCAATGTGTCGTTCGAGTATTATTGAAATTGAGCTCTTCGAGTAACAGCAAGATATAGAATTTCAATTCCCTTTAATATTTTAAGTAAGGTATCAAATTTTGTCAAAAAAAAAGAGAGGAAAGTATCAGAATTCTACATATAAAAAATTCGTTATCAAACTCAAATCTTTTTTCTAACTACTTTTTTTTTTACTAAACTCTAATTTGGTTCCTTATAATATTAAAAAATTTCAATTTGGTCCCACTTTAATTTTTGGTTTCAATTTAGTCTCAATTTAGTCTCAATTTATTTTATAATACTTCAATGTATAACTTCCTTCCAAATTTCACAAACGGTGTTAAAGGTTCGTGAAAATCACTCTCGTGATTATCACGGTTGAGAACCAATCAAAATGTACTATACTATTCTTTTCATGAATGCCCCCACTCCAGTCACCACATCCGCTCCTGTCGCCACCTCCTCTTATCCCCGTTCCCCTCCAAAGACATCGATGCGGCGAATGACGTTACCGTGGACCACCCCGACAATGCTTTTGTGACGAAATTCGGCGAAAACTTCATTTGGAAGGTATCCGCTGACGGATCTGCGTCGATCTTCTCCTGATCTTTGATGTACACAGAGGCGATGAAGAATCCTTCCGATAGCGACACACCTTACAGTTCTGTAGGGATGAACGAAATCGCCTATGTGAGCAAGGGATACCTCCTGGTGGTGCAGTTGAGGACGCGATGAACGACACAACGAGGAAGGTGTTGCTGAACGAGGATCTGGTGGGTGCGGATGACATCGCGTTGAGAAGCTGAAACGCATTCGTACTAACAATGGTGGTGAGTATTGTGGACCATTTGATGTTTATTGCAAGCAGCATGGTATTGCACATGAGAAGACTCCTCCTAGAACTCCTCAGTTGAATGGTTTAGCGGAGAGGATGAACAGGACATTGCTTGAGAGGATGAGATGTATGCTCTCAGATGCTAAATTGCCCAAGCATTTCTGGGGTGAGGCACTATACACGGCAGTGCATGTTATTAATCTCACTCTTAGTGTTATTCTTGACAGTGAGGTGCCAGATAAAATTTGGTTTGGCAAGAATGTAAGTTATGATCATTTGCGTGTCTTTGGATGCAATAGCATTTGTCCATATTCCAAGGGATGAAAGATCCAAGTTGGATGCGAAGACAAGGTAGTGCATCTTTATTGGTTATGATGAGGATGAATTTGGTTACAAGTTTTATGATCCTGTTGAGAAGAAGCTTGTTAGAAGCCGTGATGTACAATTCATGGAAGACCAAACTATTGAGGACACTAACAAGGTGGAAAAGACTACACTCGAGAAAGATAATAATTTGAATGATGGTAATCCCATGCGATTGCCTGTTCACAATCTGGATAATGTTGAGACTGGTGCTCAGAATGATAAGCAACGTGGTGATGTTGATGATCAACAGATTGGAGATGTATTAGAGGTTCCAATTGATGATGCTCAAGAGGAACATGATATGGTACATGATGATGATCTTGATAATGCTCATGAATTACCACAAGTCCCTCCTAGGAGGTCCAACAGGTTGAGACAACCGTTTTCCAAGTATTCTTTTAATGAGTACGTTACCTTGACTGATGGAGGTGAACCTGAGTGTTTTGAAGAGGCTTTGGAAAGTGAAGAAAAGCAACAGTGGCTGGATGCAATGCAAGATGAGATAAAATCTTTGCATGATAATCACACTTATGACTTGGTAAAGTTGCCTAAAGGCAAAAGGGCCTTAGAGAACAGGTGGATTTTCAGGATAAAACAAGAAAGTAATTCTGTATCTTCGAGGTACAAAGCCATATTAGTGGTGAAAGGGTTTAGACAGAGAAAGATTGTTGATTTCAATGAGATTTTCTCACCTATGGTGAAGATGTCGTTAATTATAACAGTTTTGAGTTTGGCAACTACTCTTGATTTAGAGGTAGAGCAAATGGATGTGAAAACTGCTTTCCTTCATGGTGATTTGGAAGAAAAGATTTATATGAAACAACCTGGTGGCTTTCAGGTTAAAGGCAAGGAAAATTGTGTATGTAGGCTGAGAAAAAGTCTACCAGTCTAAAGCAGGCTCCAACGCAATGGTGTAAGAAGTTTGAGTCTTTTATGTGTGAGCAAGGCTACAAGAAGACTACTTTTGATCATTGTGTCTTTGTTAAAAAGTTTTATGATGATGACTTTATTATCCTGTTATTATATATTGATGGCATGCTTATTGTTGGGAAAAATGTTTCCAGGATTGACAGGTTAAAAAAGTAACTAGGCGAGTCATTTGCCATGAAAGACTTGGGAGTTGCTAAAAAGATTCTTGGTATTAGTATCGATCACATGTGATAGAAAATAGAAGAAGCTTTGGCTATCACAAGAGCACTACATTAAGAAGGTATTGTAGAGATTCTAGATGAAAAATTCTAAAACAGTAAGCACTCATCTTGTAGCTCATTTTAAATTGAGTGTTAACCAGAGTCCTTCAAATGAAGATGAGAAGACATATATGAGCAAAGTTCCTTATGCATCTACGGTGGATAGTTTGATATATGCCATGGTATATGTACAAGACCAGATATTGCATATGTTGTTGGTACAGTCAGTTGATTCTTATCAAATCCAAGTAGAGAGCATTGGAATGCTGTGAAATGGATTTTACGGTATTTTACTGGTAATAATGGTTTCACAATTTGTTTTGGAGGGGATAAGCCTACTTTGGTGGGTTACTCAGCCTCAGATATGGTTAGAGATGTTGATTCCAAAAAGTCCACTTCGAGCTATTTGATTAAGTTTGCAGGGGGAGTTGTAGCTTGGCAATCAAGGCTACAGAGGTGTGTAACATTATCTACAGAGGCAGAGTTCATTGCTATTACTGAAGCATGCAAGGAGTTGCTATGGTTAAAGAAATTCTTGCAGGAGCTTGGTTTTGTGCAGGATAAATACCCTTTAATTGTTGATTGTCGAAGTGTTATCCATCTTGGTAATAATCCAACTTTCCATTCTAAGTCCAAACATATTGATGCAAGGTATTATTGGATACGTGATGCTTTGGATGCTAAGTTGTTAGAGTTGGCTAAAATTTATACTGATGATAATGGTGCTGATATGATGACTAAAGCATTGCCAAGAGGAAAAGTCCCAAAATTGAGAAGTCCAAAATTTGTCTCACTTAAAAACCAAGTGGAGAGGGATCTCTTAGGGAATAAGAGAGTGAGAAAATTACACAGCCATCAGGGAGAGAAAAATAGAGAAAGAGAGTAGAAAATTCTGTCCGCATACATAGAGCAATTTCAGTAAATTGCGATCCCTACTTTGTTTACCGTTGGATCGGGCTGGGAATTTGGCAGCAAGTTCTTAACACGGTGATCTTCGTTTTGACCGTTGGGATTGTGGTTGTGGATTGGAGGTCTGTGGTTGGAGAAATCAATTTTGTACAATTGCTCTAATTTGATGTTTCTTCTTCTCTATTCTTCAGTTGGAAAGCCTTGATGCTTTAATATATTAGTTGGTTGTAAGCATTTGTTTATGCATTTGATTAAACTCTCTTGTACCCTTATTTTGATCATATTGGAGCTTGATTGATTGGCTTGTGCCCGTGAGTTTTTACTTCTCACATTGAGAGGGTTTTCCTATGTTAAAAATATATGTGTCTTTTTGTGATTATTTTCTATCATTTATTTGCTTTGTTGCTTGTTGGTTTTTGCAAGTTGGTGAATTATTTCCGTTGCGTACTTTGGTACTTTGGTACACTCAAACACAAGGTGTAATGAAAAAAGATAATTTTATAATTTTTTTTTGAATATTTCTTATATCCTAATCAGAATAGTCTAAATAAATAACCATGAAAATGAAGGAAAAAAAGCACATGAAAATATAAAGGGAGAAAAAAAGACATGAAAATATGAAGGGAGAAAAAAGGACATAAAAATATAACTATTAAATTTTTTATTTTCTGATTTTGTATGAACAAAAAATGTAAAATGTTTAATTAAATTAATGATAGTGTCACAAATATTAATTATTTAATTATTTATATTGAAACTTTATTCATTTAATTATATTATTAATAATATATATATATATATATATTATTTTTAATTATATTAATAGAACTGACATATTGGGTATAATAATTTTTTTATTAACTTAAACCTAACATTTTTAAATAAATAATTTTTTTAAAATTTTAAATTTAACTTTTTAATTAAATAAATTATATATGACTAGACTTTTAACTGATTAAAGTCATAAATTCTTATTTAAGATCTCTTATTTTTATCCATAATTATTAAAGGAAGAAAATTGGAATGAAATTTAAAAACATGACAAAAGGAGAAAAAAATAATAAAAAAAAATTTAATCATTGATTGAAAATTATTTAACAGTTGAAAAATGTTTTTGAAATAGAGACGCTTCCACCAACTTCCACGTCCTCAACTTTGCGTCCAAAGAAGAACTTCAAGATGAGCAATTGTCGTAGATTCCATTATTGAGTACACCACCTATCTCTATCCTCGCTGGATGCCTCCTGGGAGTCCCTAGTTTGTAACTTTATCACCCGCTAAGTATAAATATTTCTCAAATTTCATAAAAGGATTAGACTTCTTCCGCGTTGAATTACGTATTTTTTCAAACAAAGAAATAATAATAATCAAACTTACGTCATGTAAATGATCCATTAATATTTATTTACGTGTGGGTCTTTAACTTTCACGTCTCAACAAAAAACCTACATTATTTGCGCCAAATTTAAAATTAAAAAAAAAACTACATTACAAATCACAAACTTTATATTTAGGAAACATCAAATTTTTATTTTTATTTTTATATTGTCTTTATTGATCCGCTCATAATAATATATCCACACTGAGAACTGATGTGAGGTGGTGATCACAAGGGAGAAGACCGAGAGAAAATGTTTCATACAAAAAATGGCGCACACAGTGAATCATATACAGGTGTCCCATCAAGAAATGCTACGTACTGTAGTGTATAAAATAAAAGTTTTTATTTTTATTTTTTAAAATTAAAATGCCGGCTTGGTATGGTTGTAAAACTAGAAGCCGCCTCAATGAAATAGGAGGCAGAACTGGTCAACGGTCAGCGTAATGCCTTAAGGTAATAAGCCTTCACGTGAAAACTGAAAGCCGTGAGTACAAGGCTAAAAGATTTATCGGAAGAAAACTATGCAGAATGGAGTATGTTATTTTCATTTCTCAGTCACTATTTTTATAATATATTTATTTTCATGTGACATCATGTCATGTGTAATTAGTTCCCAATTGGGCAAAGGCAAAGTTTATAAATCTCCTCCTCCACGCTTGTTTTCTCTTCATTCCAAATCCAACCATGGCAAGCCATTTCGTAGTTCTGGCCCTTCTCATCTCTTGCCACGCCCTGGCTTCGACCAGCGCCGAAGAAACGGGCTACGTGGGCCCAGTGGATCCCAAAACACTGGGCCTATACAAGAAAGACAAGTTTAGCCATTTCCACTTTTACTTCCACGAAACCTTCACCACAGACAACGCCACCACCGTGACGGTGGTGCAGCCCCTCCCCAAGTACAACGGAACCACCTCGTTCGGGTCGGTGTCGATCATGGACAACGCCTTGACCGTAGGACCCAACCGTACCTCCAAGGTGGTCGGAAGAATCGAAGGCTTGGTGGCGGGCACGTCACAATCGGAGTTTAACCTGTTGGTGGTTCTGAACTTCGCCTTAACCGAAGGGAAGTACAATGGAAGCAGCATCGTGGTGTTGGGGAGGAACCGTCTCTCACTCAAGGTTAGGGAGTTGCCGGTGATCGGAGGTACTGGGGTCTTTAGATTTGCCACCGGCTATGCTGAAGCTAACACCGTCTTTATTGAACCCACAGTCAGGTCTACTGTTGAGTATAACATTTATGTTTCGCATTATTGATCATTTGTTTTTCCTTTATTTTACTCTGTGTCTCGCGCTCTGTTGTATTTGTATCTTCTCTTCTTGCATGGGAGGAGGTTTACCAGATTTTACTTTTTTTAATGTTCAGATTGTAATAATTTCTATACAGGGTTAATAATGTTTGCCATCATGGATGGATATTGGATAATGATACAACCATATGAGATATTGGATTTTTCAAAAGCTTAATTAGAACATGCATATGCACTGGGTTTCATAATATAAAAATTAAGAAATAATCATATTGAGAAAAGTTGAATTTTGTAAAGTATATATGATTTATTCGCTTGAATTGATGAAACTACTAACATGCTGTGTTGGTACGTGGAATTCACTCCATTTAGCCTGTGTTTGCTTTCACGTTTGAAACGTGCAAACGTGAAAGCAAACACGCAGTTAGTTTGACTTTCTCAAGGGATTAGATTCAAGTTTATATATATATATATATATATATATATATATATATATATTTATTTATTGGAAAACTAATCACCTTATGAATCTGAATCCAGGTATATTTACCCATTAAAATATTATGATAATAATGAATAAGATTATGAATATCTTATCACTCAACTCATCTTATAGTTGATTTTATGGTACCGCTTGTGAATGGTATAGGTATTCATACTAAAGTATGGGCTGTGGTGGCTTGAGCACGAGTTAGTGGAACAATCATACAAGATTTTATTGTTGGAGGGTAACTTAAAAAAATATTATTTAGTTTATATACTATAAAAAAAAATTATATGATTAAATTATTAAAAATTATTAGAGAAAATAAAATAATCAATAATTGTTAATAAATGATCAATTTATTCATTAATCGATAAAAAATATATCAATAATTTTAGGAATCAATAATATTAAATATAAAGAAAAAAGTTTATTATATTATAAATTTATTTCCTTTTCTTTTTCTTTTTTGTTGTTAGTTTCTATAAGTGCTAACATAAAATTATAAATAGAAATTCTTTTTTATTTTCTCATTTTTTTATCTATAATTTATTTTATTTTGTTTCTATTTTTTAAATCATAATTTATTTTACTTTGATAATGTCTCAAAGTCAAATAATGAATCTTCATCTTTATGTCAAGAACTTTCTAGAATGTCATTATTAATAATTTTTTTGTATCGTATGATAGTTTATGATGATAACTTATAATCTCATTTGAATTTACTTGTTGTGCATTAGCCATTTTTGTGCCACAACATATTTAATTATTTGTATGTTTAATTGAAATCATAGAATATTTAAATATTTACAAAGATATTATTTTTTAATTTCGCTCATAAAAAAAAAAAAATAGAGTCGAACCTGAACATAATCTATCTATATCACAAAGTCAACTAATTTGGCTTACTACACATCTTCCTAGATTGTCTTCATCTTTTTATTGTAAAAAACGGCATGGTAGAATTGACTTGCATTGTGATGGTTATGAGACTAAGACTGAAAACACCACGATAACATCAACACAGATATTTATTAGAGGCAAAAAGTCACTTATTTGAAATAAAGAAAAGGAGAAAACATTTCACTTCAAACCTGAACTAACTATAAGCCAAGGCTAATTTGAAAGCATTATTAAATTATAAAAAAATTAATAGAAAACATTTCTCTATATTTGAAGGCATTAGATTTAGACAAAATTATTTACTATTAGAGATGACTTTCAAAAATGAATAAGCTAATTTGTTTCTTCCAAATCAAACTTAAAGAAAAGAGTTTGCTTGAGAATCTGAGATAAGCGTGCCCTTAAAATATAACCATTTTATTAATGTGATAAATAAAGGTTCAAATCCAATTTTTGAAAAATTAAATATATTCATACAAATCTGTTTGTGTGTAACATCGCAAATGAATAGAATGAATCCAAATATGAAAAATGTCTTAATTCCGGATTTCTATTGTAGATTGTAAGAGTAATATATTGTTATTGATAATATAAAAATAAAAAGAAGACTCTTTTAATTGAAGAAATATTTTAATTATCCCTATATTCATATTTTTGTATTCACTCCACTAATATCATTACAGTATTGTTCGAGTAGCAGTAGCTTCCCTTACATGACGATAAATGTTCACTGATTGTTGTCAAATTGTCTCATTCTTAAAGTGTATGTATTTGGCTACTATATAATAGAAGAGATTAATACAATGAAATAAAAAAAAAATGGAATTAAATATATTTTTAACCCCTTTTTAAACTAAATTTATTTTTAATCTCTCAAATTTAAAATTAATCTTTTTAGTCTCTGTAATTTCAAAAATAAATATTATTTTAGTCTTAGTACTCAAATTTTATTATAAAATCTATTAAATATTACCATAAAATTTATCTACTCATATACCTATTAGTAAAAATATCATATTAAATTTAGTTGATGGTGTATAATTGTCTTAATTTGTTAGTTTTAAATATATTATTAGTAATATGAGGGACTAAAATAAAATTTTTAAAAACTAAAAAAAATTAAAAAATAATAAATTTAAATTTGAAAAATCAAAGACAAATTTATCCTAAATTTGACAGGTTAAAATCATATTTAAGTAAGCAAATTGTTTATATATTATAATTAAGCTATAAGAAGGGAGGCTCAAATTTATGCAAGCATTTTCTTAACTTCAAGCAGGCCGTTATGTTGACAATTCGTATCCAACATTCTAAACTGGGCTGGCCTGATTAAAAAGCTTCAGCCCACTTTGACATTGAGCCCATCGATCACCCATCTATTTGTTTTGTTTTGTTTTCTAATATGATCTATTTCTTTTGCTTTAATGATTGTTAATGAGTTAATATTACATGATGAATGTTAGCGATGCTTTAACATTCTTTTTTATATTTATTTTTTATATAGATTAATTTTTTCACACGTTGTGTTGGTTTCACACTTCATTTAAATGAGTCTTTATTTCAGTAATTTAAGTAATAAAATTTACTAAAATTTATAATTTCAATCGACAATAAAAAAATATTAAAAGAGGATGTCATTAATATTTGTCATGTATGTATTCTATAGAGGAAAATATTACATCGGTAGTTGACCATGCTTACGGTACATTACAAATTTCATTGAGTAGTACTGTAAATACATACGAATAATTCTGAATTGATTCAAATCAAATTAATGAGTTTGGATTGAATCTTTTAAACAAGGTCCGATCCGATTAAAACATGATTTTGTATGGATTAGATAATGGGTTATATATATTTTATCTATGAGTCAAACTCGGTTTAATAATAATAATAATTACTGTATTTTAATTTAAAAATTTTGAAATTGTTTAGAAATATATATATATATATATATATATATATATATATAAATAATTAATACAAATGTTTTAAATTTCATATTAATAATATTAATAACATTTAT